TGATTTTTTTCTTCATTTTTTCATATAAAATTCCGTGTTGATCAAAAATTTTTTATTAGTGAGTGACACTTGACCCCTGTAGATCCGCAATGTCCTGCGACTGTTAAGGGTATTTCGAAAAATTTGTCGACGTAGTACAAAATTCCACCAATCTAAATTAACCAAATTACACAATAAAAAATTTATTAAAATAAAAATAATTAATATTAATGAATACAGGAATTAGGGATGTTAAACAGTCCCAAAAGACCGGCGGACTGATGGTCTGTCCTTGGACTGGACTAGTCTTTTCTCAAAAAAGACCAACTGGTAGTCTTGCAGTCTTTATCATGTGAAAATGGTCCTAAAACGGTCTTTTTTCAAATAGGGACTGAAGTTTAAACCGGTCCGTCTTGGTCCGGTCTTGGACCATTTCTATAGTGAAATTGTTACACTAGATTGATATGTTATTGGTCCTAAAACAGTCTTTTTTCAAATAGGGACTGAAGTTTAAACCAGTCCGTCTTGGACCGGTCTTGGACCATTTCTATAGTGAAATTGTTACACTAGATTGATATGTTATCAGTCCTAAAATGGTCTTTTTTATTACCATCCATCTTTTTTAAAAAAAAAAAAAATTATACACTCTCTTTATTGAAAATTTATGATTTTACGACTTGTAATTTTTTTCCCTTTACTTCCAAATTTATGTTAACATTAATTTACTATTAATAATTACAAAAAATATTGAATTAAAAAAATCATTATATATAATTAATATATATACTTTTCAAAAAAATTTTTTAATTCTTATTATATAATATATATATATATATATATATTGTGAGATCAAAAATTCCGTCTCACACAAATCTATTTATTTGGTTATAATATTATTTATCCCTTCCTATGGCAGTATCCAGTTGTGTAATTCTTTGATTACTTTCTTTGCTTTATAGCGTTCAAGCTATTTAACTCTCTGCAGGGTAAGTTTTCTTACTTCCCGTCCGGTAACGTTTTCTCAGCAGTTGCTATGTTTTCTGCCTGAGCCGGAACGTGTCAATTATTATCCCTTCTGATAATAATCCCAGTATCTTCCCTGATACTGTTGTGTTATGTTCTGATGGTTCAGTGTTTCTTTACTGACCACACCTAGCTAGGGTTTCCACTTATTTAGGCGTTGGCCTAATCTAAAATAAAAATAAAGAAAATAAGATTAAAAGAGAATTCACACACTATACTTATCAAAGGCGTCCCCCTGGTAAGATAGTAATTAATTAATAATTAGGTCGAGTTAGAGGTTTATATGTTTTTAGGAAGCGGGTGGATAATTCCACTGGCAATAGATTATTTTAATAGATATTTATGTTTGTATTTTATTAATAAGATATTATGGTTATTACAAGATAGTAGTTAAGAATGAATTAACTGATTAACTTCTAACTTATTATTACATGAAAGAGAAATTTACAACGTATTTATACATGTTAAAGGTTCTATCATCTAGTTATCCGACTTTGTTGAAATCCTAAT